CTCGAGCCCGAGCGATCGGGACAAGTGACAAAACTCAGCCCCTCCGGTTGTGAGAAAATGAGGATGGGGTAACGCACACAACTCACATCGACCCCTACTAAGGCCCAACAGGGCTTGAGGGCTCAAGACACAAAACGACTGGGTCTGCGACCCCGAACTCGCCTCATCCGGCTATGCTTCGACTACAGTCCAAAACTACCTGGGTCTACGACCCCGAACTCGCCCCATCCGGTTACGCTTCGACTGCACACCAAACACCCGGGTCTACGACCCTGAACTCGCCCCATTAGGCTACGCTTTGACTACACTCAAAAAATACCTGGGTCTGTGACGTTGAACTCGCCCAATCCGGCTACCCTTCGACTGCACTCCAAAACTACCTGGGTCTGCGACCCCAAACTCGCCCCATCTGGCTACGCTTCGACTGCACACCAAACACCCGGGTCTGTGACCCCGAACTCGCCCCATCAAGATCTACGAGCTCCGGCTCGCCCGATCCCAAAACTAACTAAACTAACTGCCTCAGTTGCGCGGGCCATGCCGAGGCCAGGATCTATGACTCCGACTCGCCCGATCCCACGGCGCGCACCGACGCCAGGATCCGCAAGCTCTGTCTCGTACGATCCCTAAAAAACAAACTGCCTCGCCCGATCCCACGACGCGCATCGACGCCAGGATCCACGAGCTCCATCTCACCCGATCTCTAAAAACAACTAACCGCCTCGATTGCACAAACGATGCCTTGGTTAACTACTCCGTCTTGACTAAAAAACACGCACACATGCCCACTAACAAACACCCCCCATACGGTTCTGCCCGAACCGCCCGAGGGCTCAGGGGCTACACCCACGGGTGCGCTCGCAAGCACCCGCCGACAAAACGAAAACCTCCCCCATTGGCAACACAGAAAAACCGCCCAGACGGTTCTGCCCGAACCGCTCGGGGGCTACACCCGAGGGTGCGCTCGCGCGCACCCGCCGTCGAGGCAAAAATCCCCTAGACGATTCTGCCCGAATCGCCCGGGGGCTCAGGGGCTCTTGTCGGGTTCATAAACCCGGGGTCCCTCGTGGACCGGCTTCCCAACAAAGGCTTGGCCCAAGCAGACAACACGCAACTCATGGGCCGACCCAAGTATCGGAACGATAGGCCAGACGGGTGATTCAATCACCGACCGGATGGTCTGGCCGAGGAGGAGCAGCACCTGCTTTCCAACTCCGGCCCACCTCTCCGACCGGAGTGCTCACTTCGGTCTGCAGCCTGCCTCCAGGCGGCCTCTCCGACCGAAAGGCCTAGCGAAGTACAATCTCCAACTCCGACCCCACATCTCCGATCGGGGTATGCAAAGACCCTACTCACTGCTCTTCTCTTACTAGCGCAACCAGAGCCGACTAGAACCAACTGATCGGAGACGCCTGCTGAAAAAGGACCAGGGAAATGGACGGAGAAAGCAAGGCAAGGCGCTCAAGTCAAACCATGATACCAGGGATCGTACCCTGTACACCTGCAGGAAAAGTACTCTGCAACCGCCCTGACACGAACAGTGTTATGGGCGCCGACATTTTCCTCTACAGTATTGTAGGCGTCATTAACTCCCATACGGTAAGGCCCCCCACATGCCTCTGGGCATCGACAGTGTTGTGGGCGCCAGAATTTACCGTACCAAGTGAACATGGTGAAATGCCTCACATGCCTCTGGGCATCAATAGTATATGCAGGTACCGACATCTGCCATACCCGAAACAAGGCGGCGTAACCTCCCACGTGCATCCGACATCCAACAGTGTTGTGGGCGCCTACCATCATCCTGTACCCGCCGGCGTGGTCAACAATACTTAGAAGCATTCGTACTCTCTCACTCTCACTTGTAAGGCCATCCCCTTCATCTATAAAAGGGGATGCGCTCTCTCCCAAAGGACTCAGTTGATAGAAGTTGATCCAAGTTCATACAAGTTATTCCAGATTCATTAGATCGACCAAGCTCACTAGCTCACAACCACAGAACCATCAGGTTCGGACCTCAAACACACGCTTGAACACTTAGCTCATAGCGGAGCTCCTGTCGCTCTCGGCCCTTCCGATCGGAGTCTGACCGGACCTCTCATACACCCCATCTTTCTCCTTCTCGTTTGTAACCCCACTGCAAACTTCGAGCACCTGGGCTCAGGAATAAAGTCACCGACCGACTCAAACTAGATGTAGGGCACATTGCCTGAACCAGTATAAATCCTATGTCATTGAGTGCTAGGCCATCTCCGATCACAACGTACGGCAAAACTACAAATATTTACTAGTTGATCACTTTCTGTACCGACAACTTGACTACCGGTACTTGCAGAGTCATTACACTTAGGATGTTGTTAAGAAGATGTGAAACTTAGGTGTGTTGGAGGATACAATTAGAACATAATTGCTATCATAATATTGATGTTCCAACTTCACGTTACAAAATATGTTTTGTTACACGTTCATACTACCATTATCATGATATTATATTTTTATCCGTTCAACGCACAGGCATTTATCTAGTTGAATACATATACATAAATACATACGAATTCTTTTCTCGCATTGTGGCTAAGACTGTTGTAAAACATACGAAGTTTGGAATATAGAAAGAGGAGAAGAAGAAATCATAATCCTAGTCCATTTGTCATGTGGACGTTTACCAAACTCAAAGACATATTTGGACTATATATATACGTGGAAGATCCTTCATTGTAATTATCAATATCCAGAAAGCAATAAGAATACCTTAATGATAAAATTAAGATAAGACCCTTGTTTATCAGGACACCTCGCTCCGCTCACTCCCGCACGTGCCGCTCGCCCAACAACCCTCTCAATTATTCGCTCGTCCGTTTCTAAAAAACAATCACTCCCGTACGCCTCGCTTCGCTCCGCTCTTGCACGCGGCACTCGACTACCGGCCCTACCAGGCGTGGCGCGTGGCTGCCCTCTTCTAGTCTCGGCGTGCGGCCGCCTACGAGTCGGGACGTTCGGCTGCCGGCAGTGGCAGAGGGAGGGGGGCACGGGGGCCTGGCACCCCCTGACGTGCTACTAATCCCTTAGTATACAGTACTCCCTTCGTCCAAAAAATAACTGTGACTAAATATATTTTAAAAATATTAATATTTATGGTACATAATTAGTATCATCGGAAAGATTTTTGAATCTAGTTTTTTAACAAATTTATTTGGAGATACAAATATTACATGCATTTTCTACAAATCGAGTCAAACTTGTGGCACATAAACATAAAACAACAGTAAATTTAGGACTGAGGGAGTAGAATATAGTTAGTATATACATGTATAATACTAGCAGTTTAGCCCCTTCCATTCAGCACAAATGTGAAGTGTCTTAGAGGCCCAATAAGAAGCAGCCCATTTAAGCTTATCCGGCTGCTATCTTCATTACGGTTGTGAATAAGAAGCGTCCAAGCCTTCCTTTTCCTCGCGTAGACGGCCGCTGGCCGTATACTGTTGTAGTTTGTTCGTCTTCTCTCTTCTGCTTTGCTAGTTCGCCGGACGCCGGTACTCCCGGACTGGGAGTCCGGATGTGAGACGACACGCCGCGCCGCCGCTGCCGTCCTAAATTGACACCGTCGTTTCTCGTCCAAATTGTCTGCAGGCTACTAGCAGCAACAGGTATTCCCTAATCATCCAGTAGTATTCTCTTATCTAATCATTGAATCAACCGTCCGAATTGGCTAGAATACTCACCTCACACAAATCGTGCTTAGGGCAGGCGATACCTCACACAAAGTTGGATCAGATATTCAGATGCATTAATAGATATGTAATTTTTTTGGTTAGGATTTGTGAAACATATTCCATTATATATGTGACTACAACCATGGTGCGGTTTACTAGTTCTACTCAAATACATGGCCCCCCTGTACTCAATTCCTGGCTCCGCCCCTGGCTGCTGGCCATGCCGCGTTGCGCAGCCGCCACCGCCGGCCTGCCGTTTACAAGCGCCACCAAGCCACTGCCAACAAGTGTCGCCGGGCCGCTGCCTCCGGCGAACTCCATACACCGACGAGCCTCCATTCTCCCAAGCCGCAAGCAGATGTTGCGATGGGCTGAAAACGCATGTTGCAAGCATATGTTTCAAGTGTTTTGGATGTTTCATATGTATGTTGCAAAAATAGATCGGAATGTTACATATGTTGTAAGTTGCAAGTGTTTTATCTGAATGCTGCATATGTTTCACACATATGTTGTAAGTATATGTTTCAAGTGTTTCATCTGCTTTAGACGTATACTGCATTCAAGTGTTTCATGTTTCAGAGGTATGTCCAGAGAGTCATGGCGGCATGGCCTGGACGCCGGGGGATGGGGTGCGACGAGCCAGGGATTGGCAGATGGGGCGCGCTGGGGTCATGCGGACGGGGCGTGCTTGTCCTCATCCCGACTCCTGGGTCCCGCCCGCGCGAGAGAGGATGGGGTCAGGGGGAATGAGCTGCGGGCGCGGTGTTTCTCGTGGGCGTGCGTGACAGAGGAGGCACGGACGTCCGAACTCGCGGAGAGAGAGGAGGGGCCAAGGAGAAGGAGCGCCGGGCGTGACATCTGTCGGCGCGCGTGACAGAGGAGGCGTGGGCGTCTGGACGGGCGCTTTTGTCCATACATCCGGGCGCTAGTATCTCCTAAAAGAATAGTCCGACAATTGCTCTCTTGTGTTCTCTTCTGTATTTGTGTTGCTGTCTAGAGCGAGTGTCGATCCCACGTCAACGACGTGTTTTACAACAAAGACGACCTGACCTGGCCACTTTGGTCGGAAATTCCCGGTGACGTACGCACCCATCTGCTTGCATTATTTTCTGTATACTTGAGGCTTACGCAAACTCCTAAGTCTCCGTGTAAGGAAGAAACCTCATCTCATTTGCCGAGTAATTTTGGCACCATCTAATATCGTTCTCCAGCTACTACATATAGTGCACTTTCTTGTTCAACTACAAGGATCAGCAATACCAGGCTGCACTTACGTCAACGAACATCATGGGCAACTCTTCGTCTAGCGGTATTTGGAGTTCTCTTCTGTAGTACAGTACTGAGTTTAGCTGCTGCTGTGATCTTTAATACTTCTGTTTTGTGTTTCAGGCCGATCAAAGTTGGGGCAGGGCCAGGGATCCAAGGTGGCGCCTTCTTGTTCAGCTGAGCAGAGCCAGCAGACTACTTTCAAGTGGAGCATCGATGGATTCTACTCACTCCTTGACAAGGGTGAAGGATGGGCCTACTCAAGAGTGTTTGAGATCATGGGTCATAACTGGTATTAACAGTCTAACAGCTCCTAATTGTTTTATTGCTTCACATAGTCCCTGTGTCTAGAATTTTACTACTTTCGTCGTCTCAGGATGCAGTTCTATATTTGGTCTAAATCAAACTATTTTCAATTTGACTAAATTTATAAAAAATATTATCAACATTTATGATTCTAGATATACACATATTCAGCCTGTTCGTTTGTTGGTTTCAGCCAGCCCAAACCAACCAGCCAACAGTGTTTTCCTCTCACAAAAAACTAGCAGCAGCCAGCTCAAACCAGCACCAGCCCCGACCAGCGAACAAGCCCATTATGAAAATTATGGCATGACTAATCTAATTATCCAACAATACATATTTAGTATGATAAATATTAATATATTTTATATAAATTTAGTAAAATTTGAGTTTGACTTAGCAACATGCTAGAATTGCATTTTCTCTAGGACAGAAGGAGTGGTACATTGTCAATGATCCCTCTTTGGCGTGTTTGCAGGTACCTGAAACTGAATCCAAGGGACAAGAAGAGTGGTGACGACGAGGAGTATGTCTCTCTTCAGCTGGAACTAGCGAGTAGCTCAGTGAAACATAACACTGTTGTAGATGCATCTTTCAAGCTCTTGATATATGACCAGTCGCACGGAAATCACAGCAAGCATCTAGGTAAAATGGCAAATTAGTTCTGCTAGGTTCTTAGCTATTAGTCTATTACTCACACCCACTAATGTTTCTATGTTTTTCGCGTTTCTGTTATTCTCCAAGAGTATTCATGATTGCTGGTCATCATCAAGAAAGGAAACTGATTAAGCTTTGAGATATTGTATGTGCAGTTAGTCATAATTTCCAAACTGCAAGCAAAAGCTCTGGGGTCTCGTGCATGACCTCCCTCAGGAAACTGAAGAAACAGTCCTCTGGGTTTCTCGTCAACAACAACTGCGTCTTTGGTGTCGAGTTCATCAAAGTCACCACTTCGAAATCCAACACGACGTCAGAAACGCTATTTGTTCAAAAGACGAGCATCTTCAACGAGGCCAAAACTTACACTTGGGACATTGAGGACTTCTTTGCACTGAAGAACCCCGACTATTCTCCGGAGTTCGAAGTCGGCGGATACAAATGGTGATGCCATCTTCAGCTTGGAATGCTTGACATGACTGAATGCTATTGATTTTATCTGAATTGTCTTACCAACAAAATTTGTCCATTCAGTGCTATTATAGTTGTTCTATACATCATGAACTGAATTGTTACATACTATCTGATTCGCAGGTATATCAGTATGTATCCATCTCGTGAAGGGAACCATCTCTCCTTGTATCTGAACCTGAAAAAGACCAATGATCTTCCCAATGACACTGCAAACCTTGTAGAACTCACTTTATCCATCAAAAACAAGGAAGCTGACAATCACCGGAAAGGAACAGGTTCGTCTACCTAGCAGGATTTTCTTATGCGCAAGAATCTAGATGCCAAATTATCATTGCGTATTAATAACTTCTTTTGTGGGGAAAATGTAGGTCGGTGCCAGTTCTCACGGAAGGCTCGTAGCTGGGGATGGAGTAACTTCATTTCGCTGGAGGATTTCAAGGACTCGTCAAATGGTTATCTCGTCAAATCTAAGTGCTGCGTTGAAGCCGAGGTTGCCATCGTCGGTTCCTCCAGGATGGAATCTGGCTGAATCGCAGTTGTGCAAAGGTGGCCATCTGTGAGTGTGTGTCTGCCTGTTCGTGCCACAGATACTGAAAGTGTGGAAAATGCCAGATAATGGTTCAGACATGAAACTATCCTCAGTTTGCCCAAAATTGTCCGTCATGCTTGTTGGTATAGTTTGATCTACCGGCAATCGTATCTGTTTGTAGCGTGTGTTGATCCCATTTTCAGTGAATAAATACAATCCATTTTTTTTTCAGTTTTGTCCCTTACAGCTGAGCGTGTGTTTGGTTTAAGGACATGATGTGATGAGATGGACCTAACCCAGTTTAGAGATGGGAGGGTCCAGTTGTCTATTTGGTTGAGGGGATGACCCTGTTTTCTGTTTGGTAGGAGTAATAAGAAAGATATGATGGATAGAATTTTAACACCGTCATCTATGACCTCGGAGCCTCACATGTAACTAGTGGGCCCCACCAGCCAACCTTATATTCTCCCCCTTCTACCGCTGGCCGCATGCACCATCGTCGCCAAGTCACATGCACCACTGCTGCCACATGCACCATCGTCGCTGCCAAGTCACGCACCGCCGCCGCTCATCCGGCCCACCCCCCGCGCCAAGCTCCATCGTAGCTGGTCGCTGTCCTCATGCCAGGCTTTGCGCCACGGCCACCGGCCGCCGGCCGCCCCCACATCCTGGTTCGTCCTGTGGCTGTCCGCCGGCCCTAGGCCAAGATCTGCCGTGGTCGCGCCATGTCCCAGCCCATGGCCGCCCGCCGCCCCTGCGCCAAACACACATGAAGTTCTAGTTTGAGGAGTAAGAAATGACATGATGAAAATTAAGTATAGTAATACCATGTTACTAGCTCATCTTCAAGAGTTCTAAAAAAACTTGGTAAATCAGTGAGTATTCCAAGAGGCTAAAATAAGTAGGGAGCTTATTTTTTTGCCTTCCTCCGACCGTTCTCAATAATTTACTCCTAAAAAATAAAAAACGGATCTATCCGAAGATCTTTTACGCTAAGCTTGATCCTCATTCACGTGCTAAACTGCTAGGTTTCTCATCCTACCCACTGTTTGCGACCCCTTGCCACACCGCTGCCGCCTCAACCACCCTTAGCCAACCACAAAACAGATCCTTGATCGTCCCTGCCGGAGTAGTCACCCCCTGTGCCCCCAAGTAGCTAGGAGCCCCTCTAGCCGGCTAGCTTCGAATGTTAGACTATGCAATTCTATCACAACCCACTTATGGTACTTGTCTTAAGACTAAAAGGTTCACACTGACATCAAGTTCTTAGAGCCAGCATACTAAACATATCCTCAACAAAAGGGCACACAAAGATATTCTTCTTAGTTGCAAAATTAAGCCCTATAGCTAATTAAGCACACTTTAGCATACAACCATAGTTGTCACACAAGATTCTAGTACACAAACTAGAACTAACCATTAAACTAGAACAAGTAAGTAGTGAGGCAAATAGAACTAGGTTTTTCCCCATGGTATCGATTTCCAAATCATAATCTCTAATCCATGTTGGAGATACACTGAGGTACGCTTCTAGACACTAAGTCTCTTTCGGACACGGTGTTTGCACTAGTCCTTCTACGTAGCATGGTGGGGACAATGCAAGCTGTATGGTGTCGTGGGCTCGTAACACTGCTAGTAATTAGTGGTCGATGTGTGGGGCTTCGGTGGTTAACACTCAATGACACGGGAGGGTTTATCCTGGTTCAAGCCTCAAATCCCTACGTCTGGCCAAAGAGTTCTTCGTGTTAGAGTGCTGAGCTTACAATAAGGGATAGGAGAGCAAGAGGACTCGACCGTCCCTAGGTTCAACTGATCTAGGGTTTGATGGGTCGACCCCCTCTATGGAATTCCTACCCCTCATTATATTTTTGGGGGACCAGGGGAGTATAAGGATTAGGTTTAGTAGCTTCTTGGGTGTCAAGGAAGTGCTAGGGTTTCTTCTTCCTGATCTTCATGTCGTTGGGCGTGTCCTACTCCATGTGTGGTCGTGGCTGACAATGTAGAAACTGCCTGTGGTAGCTTTTACAGATGGCAGGGGCAGGCTGGTACTCTGTCGTTCCACTTGTCTTGGTCCGCCGTCCCTTGGCGTCTTTCATGCTCCAAGGGGGGATGAGGCCTGTTGATATTTCCTAATGACTATTGGAGGATTCCACAAGCGCACAGAACTGTCACGTAGCACTTCGCTCGGTGAGTATCGAGTGTCGAATTTATAATTTATCCCATAGGAAGGCGGAAGGCTAGAATCTATACAGGACTAGGATTTGCTAAAGGTAGGTTCTAAGTTGATCCTAGGTAGGTGGACGATATAGATGGATGAGGGTAAATTACCTAAACTAACTACTATTAATAAGCTAACCAGAGATAGCTAGGTGGGAGAGCGAGCGATTTATCTATCTAGTAACTAAGGGTAAACAAATAACTAGGCGAAATGCGATAGTATTTCAGGGCACAACCCGCCTATCAACTAGGAGAGTTAAATAGACAAGGTCTGCCACGAGCCCTACGATTTAATAACTAGACCCAACGTGGGGGAATATAGAGGATGGACAAGGTTGTCACCACTTGCCACCTACCACAATCTATCCGGAGGCCTAGCCGTATCCATAGGTAATCTATAGCCTAAGCACCACGCTTAATCAACAGGCTTACTACTTCAATTCGAGCTCTGGCGAAATGAGATTAAAGCACCCTAACCAGACGGTGGAACCGGTACTAACGAAAGACTACTAATGATAAGATAACCTATGCTACTAATGCCAAACAATAAGCACCTAAGCTCACTAATGATGAACACTAATGACTAAGTACTTAAAGTAAAGCAAGCAATACTAGAATAAAGTACTGAAATAAATACTAAATAAAGTAATGTAGAAATGAAAGAATTACAAAGAAGCTATACCAGACCCAGAAGACTCTTCCAGATTCCGAGAAGCTCCACTCGTGCTCTACTCCACTACTAGACTACTACTCTATAGATAAAGCTAAGCTAGAGAAGCTTGGAGAGCTTGGAAATGACTAGAACTGAATGGGACGTCTTCCACCGAGCTCCCCCTATTTATAGTGTAGAGCGAGGGGAGGGGTATTTGTAGGTAGCAGGAAGGTCGGTGGCCATCGGGGGGCGCCGGGTGGTGGCATAGGAACGTCGGCCGGCCCTTGGATGCACTGCCTTAGCATCCAACGGTGCTGGTTGGCTCCCAATGGTGATTGTGAAGCCAGCATGTGGTGAAACTTGGCAGGTACGTCGGTTGGTAAGTCGGTGGAGAGCTCCAAGTGTATGACAATGGGCCCATCAATCCATCATGAGTTAATCTTGGCCCTTGATCAAACCGACTTGAATGGAGGCTTCCCATTGGATGAGGAGTGGCTCCCACGGATCACTAACGTGGCATGGCCATAGGTGGGGCCGGGCGGCACCTATCTGTGGGCCCAGGTGGCCCTGCGACGTCCACTTGCTCCTATGGTCCATGTTTGTCACCATTTTGGTCAAAATTTATCATATTTCCTACATACAAATAATTCTCTAAGTACAAGTGGAACTAGGTGAAATTTAAACATAATTCTTCACATGTGATGATGATTTTCCATACTTTTGGGTGGAATGTTGATGGTCAAAACGGGTGTTAGTGACCGTCAACAAGCTCCCCCAAGCTACCCCTTTGCTGTCCTCAGCAAAGATGCGGGTTTAGCATGGAATAGGTTATTGGATCAGGAGTTGCGTACAATGTAACGCCCTGCAAAAACTTATATACAAATAGATACTATCTCTTGAATTGAATATGTTAGCACTTAGAAATTTCACCATCAGTTTTAGCAATGTGGGGCTTATAGCTTTCACCTTGATACAAGCAAGTGCAAGAGAGTGTAGCTAGATAGATACTTTCTGCCTACTCTGGTTTAGCTCAAACTTCCCGGAGGTTTTCAAATGATTTAAAAGAAAACTTGTCTAAGTTCCTCAGATGGTACACTCAAGTCACTCAATGGTGTTTGAAATCCTCACAAAGGCCATGAATGTTAGCCTTAATTTCTATCCTAAAGCTTATGTGGAGCTCAAGGCAGGGGTAAAAGCATAGATTACTTGAATTGAATATATTTCTAAGTCAAACACTTGGATCACAAGGAGCAACAAATCATACAAATTGATCAAGATGTGTATGTGTCTAGTATATTTGGTGGAAGTGGTACTCCTTTGAGAAGTTTCCCTTCTCTAGCTTCTTTTTGAGAGGGCATGGCTACTTTCTTTTTCTCACTCTCTTTCTTTCTCTCTCTCTCTCTCTCTCTTTTTAGAACACTAGAGCTTTTTGCTCTTTTATTCTCTCTCACTTCTTTTTTCTTCTGTAGCCCATGCCTCTCTTTTGATGTAAGATAGCTAGAGAGGTAACTTTGATTTTCATAGAGCAATAACAAATGGAATGCATATGTGGTTGCGTATCCCCTAGTGTAGGAATAGCATATGTGGGTGTACGTGATCTTGATAAAAAAGCATGAAAAGTTTCTCTACTCAGATCAGCAAGGCTTAAAAAAAGCTCAAAACAAACTAGCAGCTTTTATTGTGGCTTTATCATGTATGAATGTGTAATTAAATATTTGGCTCTGGTAGGAATTTATCACCATTGAGGAACTTCTAGCAAGAGAGTTTTAGCATTTTTGCAAAACAAAACTCCAGGTTGTCTTTACTATTCCTTAGATAGGTTCAAAGATTTACCCTAATCATGACTACAACACATCTCACAAAAGCCTATTCTTGGTTCTAGCATTTGCAACCCACTAGAACATTCAACTTAAGATAAACTCTAAGTTTATCATGCTCAAAACTTAAGAAGTATAAGGTTGTATGACAAACTTTTGCAAAGTATCACAGAGCTACTATTCATCATCTCCAATTAATTTTATCATCATTTTATTAGAGCATAGTTTTTCTTAGAACAAATTTAAAGGCACTCCTCTTTTACATTCTATGATCATAAATATTGAAACATAAAGCAAACATGAATGTGAAGAGA